GTGGCCGGGAGCGGCCACTGCACTCCAGTCTGGGCGACAGAGTGAGACTCCAACTCAAAAAAAAAAAAAAGAAAGAAAGAAATTCGAGAATGTTGTGGAAGTACAACAATGGAGGCGAGAGTATGCAACAGAATCTCCAACACGCCTAACAACTGCACGAATTCACGATGAGTATGAGACGTGTGGTCCTGTGTGTGATGTGCACAAGGGAAGATCCAGGAGGCCTCGCACAGCAACAAGTCCTGCAGTAGTTCGCCGTAACCAGAAACATCTGGACGCTGATGGTAACCTCTTATTTTTAGAAAGCAGGATTTATTGAGAGGACAGAAAAGTTCCCTCAGTGGGAGGGAACCCAAAGGGGTTGCCCCAATGGTAACCTCTCTGAGCACCTCTTGTAATTGCAGAAGTCAAACGCAACTTGTATTCATCTTTTGTTATCGATATATATTGAGTCTTACAAGGTTAATAGTTTTCTTTTCCTTAAGATGTATATACATTTTTTCGGCACCCTCTGTAGATGGACAAAGGGAGGCTCCCCTGGCTGGGCCCTGTGCCTCAGGCTGGGGTGGGCGAGAGCAAAGCGGAAAGGGCAGAGGGGGCTCTGGGAAGCCTTGATCGGCGTGTCCTGACTCTGTCCCTTCCCGGTTTGGTGCCCTCATGTGTCCTTAAAGGGGTGGGAGGTTATGGGACCTGTGGCCCAGCTGGGATGAGATGGGCAAGGCCCGGTGGGCTTGATTTTCTGTGGGGACTCTAGTGGAATGTTTCTCTGTTGATCCAGGGGGATTTTGAGATTAAGAACATGGAAATGAAGTCGGGGACAACCTTGAAGATCAAGGGCAAGATCTCCAAGGACACTAAGGGGTAAGCAAGGCTGGAGGGCTGTCTGCAGGCCTGGGACAGGCAGGGCTGCCCTGTGAAGGGGTCAGACCACGACGACTTCAGGCCGGGGCGCCTTTCCGCATCCTTTCTTTCCTACGGCCCCACCGTGCACACCCTGCTGGCCCCCTTCTGTGATGACCTGCCTTCATGTCTGAGGCTCAGTTTGGAGACCTGCGGAATTTCAGAGTTGAAGCTATATGCTGTGTTTCCCAGCCCCAGGAGCTACTGAAGGGGCAGGTGGAGAAGCCCCTGGAATTCGGCCCAGTCCGCTGTAGGTCAGCTGCTTCTACTGCAGCCCCCAGAAACACCACCCTTTTCACCCAGCCTGGTGCCACAGGCTGGCCTTTCATGTGCATTAAACCAAGACAGCCACCAGGGGGTACCAAGTGGTGTCATCTGCACCATCAGGATTGGAACCAGAGGTATCACCCATCTCCAAGTTATAGCTCAACCCTGGGCTCCCACAGGCTTAACAATTTCAGCATATTTTGGGTCTACTCTCTATCCACTTTGGTTGGGGAGGGGGCGGGCAGATACATGGGGTAGCAGTCAAGAGAAAAGTGACTCCTTTCTCCTACTTGGGTCCCCAGGTGTGCAAAAATTGGTCTGAGATTCCTGCAGGAAGACACCCCACAACGTGGAAAGTCCCAGGTTCCCGTAGTGATCCTGCAAAAAAGTCACACGATCCCTGGTCGCACACCTCTAGTGACAGGGAGCTCACTACCTCAGGCTGGCTATACTCTGTAGCTAAACTTAACAGGTCTTTGGAGGTTTAAGGACAGCATTTCTCTCTCCCAGAACAGACACCCCAAATTCTTGAAGCGATCACTATCAGTGACCCTCTTGTCCACAGCCTTGGTCTCTCCAAATGGAATGTGCTATTACACTAAGTGTGACCAGATTGTCACCTCCCTTGTTTTAAGCCACAGGTCTCAATGAAGACAAGCTTTCTGTGATCCTTCCAGCTTGTGGTCCACTGAGACCCTTGAACTCAAGCTGCTTTACCCGGGCCTGGCCCCTAAACCTCACCTATCACCCCTTCTCCTGCAGCTTTGCGATTAATCTGGGCCAAGGGACAGATAAGCTGAGCCTTCACTTCAACCCTCGCTTCAATGAATCCACCATTGTCTGCAACTCATGGGATGGCAGCCGCTGGGGACAGGAGCAACGAGAAAATCACCTGTGCTTCAGCCCAGGGTCAGAGGTCAAGGTGAGGTCAAGGGGGAAAGGAGCTTGGGGAGAGGTGAAGGGAAGGGCCCAGATGGTAGGGCCCCCAGCTGGGATACACGTGCTGGCACTGTTTGAGCCACCAGGCACTGCCCCAGACCATGTTCAAGGTCTCCTGCCTCCTTGACACCCTCTCCTCCCACAGTTCACCGTGACCTTTGAGAATGGCGAGTTCAAGGTGAAGCTGCCAGACGGGCACGAGTTCACCTTTCCCAACAGGCTGGGCCACAGCCACCTGAGCTACCTGAGCGTGAGGGGCGGCTTCCAGGTCTCCTCCTTCAAGTTTGATTGAGCAGGTGGCACCTTGTCAGAATAAAAGACCCCAGCCCGATTCCCTGTCCTGAGCCTTTTTCCGAGTCACACCAGGATCAACAGCCCTTGCGTCCTGGATTTGTCCCCCAACCCCCACCTGCAGTTCCTGCCCCTCGGACCCCATTTTCCTCACCCAAGGCCAAGAGCAAACAAAATGACTCACCTGTATAGAGTCTTTCTGTGGCAAGATCTGTGGCAACTTTTCTCCTACTTGGGTTCCTCAAGTTTGCAAAAATGTGGGATACCCAAGTTTGAAACTCTCAAATGAAGGTACCCCACGACCTAGAATGCCCTGTTCTTAGGGATCCTAAAGGTCTGATCCAGACTCCTGTAGTGATCCTGCCAAGAAGTTACACAATCCCTGGTTGCATACCTCTAGTGACAGGAAGCTCACCACCTTAGGTTACTGTTTGAGGCTAAATTTGACAGGTCTTGCAGGGCATGGTGGCTCATGCCTGCAATCCCAGCACTTTGGGAGGTGGAGGCGAGAGGATTGCGAGTCCAGAGGTTTGAGACCAGCCTGGGCAATTTGGTGAGACTTTGTCTCTACAATAAATAAATAAATAATTAGCCGGGCATGGTGGTGCACACCTGTAGTTCCAGCTACTTGGAAGGCTGAGGCAGAAGGATCACCTGCACCCAGAAAGTCAAGGCTGCAGTGGCCATGACCATGCCACTCCACTCCACCTGGATGACAGAGTGTGACTCTGGCTAAAAAAAATAAAAGAAAAAATTAACAGGTCTTTATGTATCTAAGGACAGCAATTCTGTTTCCATGCATTTCAATGCTCCTGGCATATTTATGATACACAGGAAACTGAGGCACAGACACCCAACTGCCTAAGATGTGCTCCCATTAGCTCTAAGCACTTGTTCCTGCCTACCTGCCCCCATTATCACCAGAACAAATGCCCGCTGCCTTGTGGGAGTGTGGGCAGACACAGGATCCAGGCACCTGGGCTAGGGGCTGTTCCCGGAACTGCAGATAAGGGCTCCCACCTGGGCCGCTTATCGCAGGGCATTCCAGCCCGGTTACTCATTACCCTTGTCCACTCCCCTCCGCTGCTGGGGGCCTTGCAGGGGTCCTCTGGAAGGGAGGGCATATAAGCAGGGGAAGCTGATGCTGTTCCCCAGGTCCCCAAGCATCTTGCAGGGCACCCTTTACCAAAAAAAGCCATTTTTAATCAGGCCCCAGAGGCAGGTCTGGGGTACACAGTTAGGCGGGAGTCCTCCCGGTGAGGTCATGGGGATTCCGGGACAAGTGGGAGGTGGGGGTAGGAATGCTGGGGAAGCAGCCTGGAAGGGACCCTCTGGGAATTGCTCCGGGATGAGTTGGGGGCGGGCGGTCCCTTTGGGTGCCGAGACAATGGCCCTGTGTGGCGTGCTCCCACCCCCACCCAATACAGGCAGCTTCGTTGGCACAAAGGAGGCACTGTGAGGCTGGGCCCTCCAGCCGGTGGGGGTGGCATGGGGCGGGGCACAAGGAATGGCCACTGGGTCCAGAGTGGCAGTGGGGGGAGGTGGGTCAGCCCAACAGGGCCACTGAGGGCACCCAGGTCCCAGCACAAGCCTGGGTGTCCTCCTTCCCATGTCTGTCCTGCAGAGACGAGGAGGAACCTGCAGGCAACACGGCCTCCCCCTCCGGTGGGGCCGGACCTAGCTGCCAGGTGAGGGGCTGGCTCTGCACCTGGGCGCCTCATGGGAGGTGCTGAGCCCTTGCCTGGCCACTCACACTTTGACCTCCTCATCCTCCTCGGCATCAGCAAACCCGAAGGCGTTTGCCTGCACGGTGCTGGGCACGGAGGCTCTGCTGCCTGCCTGGGGCGCCCCCCACTCTTCGTCCAGGCTTTCCCAGGAGGCCTGGGCCTGGGGCAGCCCCTCCTCCAGCTGCTTCTGCGCATCCATCTGAGTGTAGTGGCGGCTGCCACTCCAGCCTGATCCCCAGTGCCTGCCGCGGGCCAGGTCCGCGGGTGCTCGGGGACCCTCGCCCACCAGACTGGCCCTCACCTCAGCAACTGGGCCCAACCCAGCAGTTACCCCGTTGGGGTAGTGTCCACGGGGTGGGGGGCTGGCAGCAGGGGCTGGAGGGTTTGTGGCAGGGGCTGGGCGGTTTGCCACGGGGGCTGGGCGGTTTGCCACGGGGGCTGGGGTCTCAGCTGCAGGGTCTTCTGAGAGGCTCATGACCCCTAGCAGCTCACTGAGGAGTGAGGGCCCAAGGTCAAGGTCCAGGCGGAGGGACAAGAGGGAGTCAGAGCGACGGAGCTCGGACTCAGCGGGGAAGGAACTGTCATGTTCTCGGTCACGAGGCTTTTCCGAGCGGGCCAGGCGGGAGATGGTGCAGAACCCAGAGTCCACGCCTAGAAGAAAAATGGGGAGTGGGGTCAGAGCTGGAGTCCCTAATCAGAAATTGGGGAGCGGGGAGCAGTCTCGGCTTGCTGTGTGGCCTTTGGCAAATCACTCCCCTCTCTGACCTCAGTTTCTCCCGTCCTTTCAATACAGTGAACCCCGCGGTCTCTCATGTGACCCTCCTGTCAACCCTGAACATTACACAGTGGAATAAACCTCACTTCTATTTTGCAGGGTGAGGAAAGTGAGGCTCAGTCTTAGTTAAGGAGAAGGGCTAAACCGAGACCAGAGTCTGATGTGGTGGAGCCGTGCCTGGAGCTCAGATGTCCTCTGAGTCCCAACTGTGAACTTGGCCATGTCCACTAGTTCCCTGCCTCCACGCTGGTCAATGACTGCAGGTGAACCTGTAGCATAGGGGTTGGTTTGTGGACACAGGGGAACTGGCAGCCAGGGTCTGACTGATAGAAATCAGACTCAAGGTTGGGCACATCTGGTCCAACCCCGTCCTCCAGAACCACCAGGGCTGAGATGTAACGGGGGACTACGGACCAGTCTTCAGCGGGGTCCTGAGCAGCCCCCTGGGGCAGGAGCATTAGCGCATCTGCCCCAGGGGTGGGGGGTGAAGTCACAAGACATGGAATGGCCACCAGGTGGCAGCCGGAGCCCGTGGCTCCCAGGTGAGCCTGTTCTGCAAAGCCAAGGTGGCACTTCTGGCTGGGCAGGAAGGGCCCTGGCTTGCCTCCCTGTGAGTGGTTTTCCAAATCTGCCAAGCCACAGGAGACTGTGTTCAAATAACAACAACAGCTCAAGTGTCCTGAGCACCTACTATGCTCAGCCCCCAGAGCTCTCCTAGTACATGTATAATCTCACCGAGTCTTGGCAATGACCCTAAGGGACTTAGCCAGGTGAGGACTTGAACTTGCAGAGGCCAAACGACTTGCTAGAAATCCACTGGAATCTACAGCCCAAGCTCTTAACTGCTCCACGAAATCATTCTGACATGAGGGGGCTGCCTAGGGTGGAGGGGCAAAACGGGCTGTGGGTGGGCTGGCCCAGTCAAGGGTCCCGGGGGTGGTGGGGAGCCCTTGTCCAGGTCATACAGCAAGTCGGGGGCAGTCAGAACTTGTCCAGGTCATACAGCAAGTCGGGGGCAGTCTGTCTCCTCATTCTCAGCCTCGTTGTACCTGGGGGTGAATACACGGTTCCCACTTCTCTTCCCCCTCCTCACCCATGGTGTGGGACTTGGCCCTGACCTCCAGGGTGAGACCAAGCAAACCATGCGGAAGAGCTCACTTGGGGGCTTGGTGGAGCCCTGAACCCCTGGGCCTCCGCCTCGGCCTCCGAAGAACGAGCAAAGGCCCAACCCTCACCGTAACTGGAGTGGCCGTCCGTGGAGCAGGCGGGGCTGCTGTCGAAGCTGCGCTTGCCCATCACGAGGCCGTCGTAGGCCGCCTGGTTGAGCTGGGGCAGGGAGATGGCGTTCTTGATGATGGGGGAGATGGCGGGCGGGGCCGGCGAGGGCGCGGGCGGAGAGGCCATCCTCCGGGGCGGCACCCCCACCCTCCGCATCAGCTGCAGCTTCTTGGCCAGGAAGCTGCGGGGTGAGCGGTGGGTGCTCCCAGAGCTGCCGCCGTGGTTGCTGAGGAAGGAGGTGTCGCCAAAGACGTCCCCGCCACGGCCCACGTGCATGGTGTGGCGGAAGTCCCCCAGCGGGGGGCTGATCATGTCTGCAGTCAGCCGCCTCTTTTCCCTGGGAACTGGACACCCAGCCCACAGGCGACAGTTTGCCGAGGCTCATGGTGGGGGCTCCTCCGCCCCCCTGGGGGCCGGGCATCAGCTCTGGCTGCTCACAACTGCTGGTCCATGTCCCCCAGGGGCCAAGGAGGGAGGTGGGCTGTGCCCGGGGGGCCCCCTTCTCAGCTCCTCTCCCCTGGCCGAAGGCGGCGGACAGCACTCTCCTAGGCTGTGGCTACTGGATGGTGAGGCTGTAGCAGGCCCGAGGCTTGTCTCCCCGAGGCCCAGCTTCCAGCCCCGGGCAAGCGGCTGCAGAGGTCCAAGACAGAGAAGGCAAGATGTGCCACCAGGGGGTGAGCTCTGCTCCTGCACAGGGGTGGAGGCCTGGAAGGAGGACAGAGAGACGGTGACAGCACACCGGGCGGAGGAAATCCTGGGCCAGACATGAACATGGAAGAAGGCAGAGACAACAACATGGATGGAGGGCCCTGGCCAGGTGCTGGGCAGAAGCCAGGCAGAGGACACGTGGGTCCACATGCGGAAAGTCCCAGAACAAGCAGAACCATTAGAAATCAGAATAGGCCAGGCTTGGTGGCTCAAGCCCGTAATCCCAGCACTCTGGGAGGCCGAGGTGAGTGGACTGCCTGAGCCCACGGGTTCGAGACCAGCCCAGGCAACCTGGCAAGACCTAGTCTCTATAATAAATAAAAAAATTAGCCGGGTGTGGTAGCACGTGCCTGTAGTTCCCGCCATTTGGAAGGCTGAGGCGCTAGGATCGCTGGAGCCCAGCAGGTCAATGCTGGGGTGGCCCTGAGTGTGTCATGGCACTCCAGCCTGGGCGATGGAGTGAGACTCCAACTCAAAAAAAAAAAAAAAAAGACATCAGAATTGTGGTTGTCTCTGAGCACATACTGACCGAGTAGGGCACAAACATTTCCACGAGCTATGCATTGAAGATGTGTCTCGGTAAAAAAGAGAAATGGCCATTCGACTGGGCCCACTTATGAAACATCTACTAAGCGCCAGTACCTCACCTGCATCATTTAAACTCATGCAACAATCCTGAGGGTGGCACAATTACAGAGGGGAAGCTCAGGAACCAAGAAGTAATGTGACTTGCCTAAGGTTACGTGGTAGGAATGGTGAAACAAGGCCCCAAACCCCAGAGCCTTTGAGCAAGTCACCTCCCTTCTCTGTGGGTTAAAATCCCTTCTACCCAGAGAAGCCAGGAGGGAGGAGGTGCTTTGCCAGGGCTTTATGACCTGCTGTGTAAACAGCCAGAGCAGAGGTTCTTCAGAACCCTCCGCCCTCAAGGTGCTTCCTGGAAAAAGGATCCTGTGGTCAAAGTGGTTTTTCCAGCCATCTCCTCCATGCTTGAGCATATTCAAAGCCCTGAGAAGGCCCGCAGGGAAGGACTTTATCGCAGTTTGTCAAGTTGATGAAGGAGACTTGTCAGGGAACAAGCTTTGCTGGTCCCCCCCACATCTTCCTCAGCCCCAACCTTCGATAGATAAACAGCTCTTGGTCTGACTCCTTTCCTTCTGGTAGCATAGAAAGTCCAGGCTAGATGGCACCTATGATCCTACGGTCTGACCTCTGGTTTTCCTGAGGCCCAGAGAGGGCCATGCTTGCTCAAGGTCGGATCCAGAGAGCTAGTTGAGACTTGAACTCAGAGCCTCTGACTCACACAAGCCTTTGACTGGCCCGTGGAGCCCAGCCTTGTCTCCTGAGATCAGCAACACACTTCGAGGGTGGGGCAGCTGCCTGGATTTTCTGGCTTTCCTCCCTCCCGCACCCAGCCTGGGCTCTGCGCTTACCTGGTGCCCAAGCAAAACCAGCTTAATCACAGGAGACCTCTGTGGTAACCTTCATGCCAAAGGATCACCTTCCCAGAGTGGTACGGGTAGGTGTCCTCACAACGTGACCTTGGTCAAGTCACTTACCTCCCAGACCTGGGACCTCAGGTGATAAAAGTTGATAATAATCCCTAACAAGAACGCCTGCACCTGAGTCTCCACCTTCTTTCTTTTTTTGGAAACCGTTGTGCTGTGCCACCTTCAAGCATAAGAACCTCAATACAGCCCTTCTAATGTTATTTGAAATGCAAAATAGGTTAAATAACAAGATACAAACAACGAAGGCGGCAGGACAAAGCATGCTTTGTTTTGTGACCACATTCTCGTTCTTTCTTGTCATGGGAACCTCCCCCCATCCAGGCTCCTCCCCCTGGGGGGGGGGACTTCTGAATCATCCCTTTCCTCCAGCACCCCCGGCCTGAGGATCCTCGTGGAATGTTTGCTGAGTTATGAGGCGCCCTGCAATTGGCCAACGATTCCATAATGTCATCCGATTTTTCAACAACCCCACAACGTGAGAGTGGTGACCCATTTGACAGGCAGAGCGGAGGTTCAGAGGGAAGGGACCCGTCCAAGGTCAAGTGGCAGGTACACAGCAGGCCAAGTTTCCCTGCTCACAGGGATCAAGGAGGAATCACTGGGGAAAGGAACCGGGGGTGGGGTGGGTATAATCTACCAAATGCCATGTACACGGGCCAACGGTGTCTGTTGGTCACAAGGCCACAGACAACTCACTCCCACCCCCAACTCCCTGATTTCTCCTGCCCCTACCCCAATGCCTGGAGCCACTTGGATGTGGGAGCCCAGCTTCCTCCTCAGTCTTGTAATGTTCTCGCCTCCCAAATGTTTCTGAGCACTTCCAGATAGTTAAACCCTGTACCCTTCCACCCTGCCTTCCCATGTGGAAAGGGGGAACAGCACCTCTCCCAAGGCAGCTGGAAGGGTGGAAGGTGCTGTAATTAAACCCTCAGATCCCGGGCAGGGTAGTCCTGGGTTCGAATCCAACACCTTTACGCGAATGCCTCTCGTTCCGGGGACACTTGGTGGCAGCCATGTGGCACTTGATGCTGACCACAGCATACTGCTGGCCCTCAGGTGTGCCCCCCCACCCCCCGGCACCCCCCAGCTCAGCAGGGGCCTGAGCGTTCTGGTGCAAGGCTCACGCACTCCTCAGCCCAGGAATGCGACCTGCCAATGCTCCGAGCACCCATTTTATAGATGAAAAAGCTGAGGCCCAGAAAGGAGCTTGATCTACTCTAGGTCACAGGGCAAAAACGGTGGGGTGCCTAGGAGCCTGCCTAGGGTTTCAGCAATATCACTAGCAAACCGGGAGCGGGAGCAGGAGGAATTAACTGGATGCTTGGTGTCGAGCATGAGGGTCTGGGAGGCAGGAGACCACTTTGAAGATTCAGTGCCTGTAACCTGGGCAGGAGCTTACATGAAGCCTCGGCATCCCTGAAGTCCTTCTATTTACCCCACAGAGGACAGGCAGGGCCTGGGCACGTGGCCTGAGCCCACTCAAGGCTGGGAACAAGTTTTGGGGTGAGGGACAGGGACCACCATCAGGAGAGGCCAACAGGGGTCGCTGCGGAGGCACATGTGGTCTGGGAGGGGAGGCGGCTACACCCCAGCGTTCACCTGGGGGTTACCCACAGGCCAAGCTGCCAGCTTCTCCTCCTGAAGGCCACTGCTCAGGTGCACAGAACCGCTTCCACGAGGGCGCCCAGGTGGGTAACACCACCCCTCATAGGCGATGGACAGTGGGGTGCCTGGCCTGGTTAGGACAGCTTCCCAGCACCTGCTCCCCCCGCACCTGCTCCCGACACCTGGGATAAGGAGTTAAGGCCCCAGGGACTGGCATGTTAGAGTCCCTCAAAGTCCAGCTGCTTCTAGGTAGAGATGGGAACAAAGGCTAGACAGAGATAGCTAGTTGCTCCCGGTCACATTAGGGGACTCTGAGGGGTACAGGAGAGAGCACCACGGGCCATTAGGGAGCGTCGGGGAGAGGGGAGAACAGCTTCTTCCCCACCACTTCGAGTTAGAGCCAAATGACCGTCGACTGGACCAGGCTGAGCAGCTGAACCCGGGTCTCGGTCCCCAGCGCCACGTCTCCACGTGGTCTCTCGGCCAGTCCCTTCTCCTCTCGGAGCCTCAGTTTCCCGATCTAAAAAAAGGCTTTGATTTCGCGGGTCTTGCACGGCTGGGCAAAGCTAGAGCAATCTGGAGGGCGACCGGGATTGGAAGTCCAGGAAAGACTTCAGCCATAAAACATTCCCTCGGGGGCGGGGGGGTAGAAGGCGGAGGGTCGCTCCGCGGGGGAAGGGGCAGCCGGCTGTCTTGGCCGGAGGGGACCGGACGGGATGACCTCATCCGCGGCTCGGGCTTGGAATGCGGCGGTCGGGGAGGGGGCAGGGCGCCCGGTCCGTCTCCCAGCCCCCCCACTTCCCGCTCTCCGAGTTGGCCTCCGAGGAGCCAGACATTCCGCCACATCGCGCCCCCCCGTTCCTTCCCGTCCGTCCGCAGCGCAGGAAGGC